CAGAACAGGCAGATCGACGAAGTACACTGCTGAGGGGAGCAGCGGGCGGGTCAGGAGAGGTCTGCCATGCCATGTGGATCTCCTCTGGGGCAGGCGGGATTCAAACTCATGCGGAAGTGACTTTAGCTTCTTAGTGCTGTGCTTTAACCCGCTGCGCCACCAGGGAGGGCCTTAAACTGATTTTTAACTTGGCTGCCTATACATACTTGGTAAAGTAATAATCAGAGATTATAAAGACATCCACCTTTTAACTCTGCTTCTAATTTATGAAAATTGAAAGCTTTGGATTAGTTTCTATCTTCCCCCAGTAGTAACAAATATAAAGGTAATAAGTAATCACATACAGTGTGACTTCAGTCAACTAAATTTCCATGGGTTGAAGAGATTTTTGGCTGAAGACACAGGCACTGACTGTGCATGTGGAAAGTCACAAAACACAAAGTAAAGTGCACCATTCAAATTTTAGGCTGAAAGTCTTAAGTTCTCTAAGCAACAATGTACAAAGCACTCATTTTTACAAACTATTCTGATGAAGCCATGTAGAAGTCACTTCTTGCTATCAATGAACTCTTTATATTTAGGGTTCTCTCAAACTGTAGAATAATCTTAACATTTGTACTCAGAAGGCAAAAGTTTCACATGGTAACTCAAGTAACTGCTAATTTTCCAACAGCCCAAACCCATTAATCAAATCAATATCCAGTCTCAAACACTTCAGCTACATACTATAAATACTGATAACTCTTTTCTATCAAAACCTTAGCAATTAGAACATAGAACTGAAGAGGTTAATATAAATTTTTAGGAAAAAAATTCCCATTATTCAAACTCCTAATATTTCTTTCTAACTTGAGACCCTACAGATTATATTATATGTTATTTCTCACAAACCAAATTTCTGATATCTAAACTAAGGAAACACAAAAACATAGAAGCAAAAAATACTCCCACATTGCAATACTGGCAAAAATTGCAAGATTTCATTGTGAGTTAAAGTAATGTTGGAGAACTGCTTGAATTACATATGAAAATTAAGATTAAGATAAAAAAAATCAAGGTGTGTGATTTGATTATCACAGGATCCCAAAAGGTACTTAGCCAACAATGAAGTCTTTGATTATTTGCAAAATAACTTTCTTCTCTATAACTGGGTCAGTCAAGTCAATCTTAAGTAGATCACTATTAAGTTATGAGCAGACTCACTAAAACACATGTCAATAATAAACAAGTTATTCTTTCTCTTTTGAGAATATGCAAATAGGTAAAATTACTATAGCTAAATTTTATTAAGAAAAAATATTTTAACAATTTGTTTCTTTTATTAAAAGTTTCAATGAACACTCTCCCCCATATAATTTTAGTAAACTTAAAATGTGCCACTATTACTTATTTAACTTCAAAACATCACATGGAAGTGAACTGAGTTGTATTAATTTTAAAATCCTGTAGCTTAAATGTCAATAAACAGCAGGATAACTGACTTTTGACATTCTAAAAACCCAGTGTTTCTTAATAGATCAGTTTTTAAAGAACCAGTCAACTACAATCACCAATATTAATATGCATTCAGAGACGAAAAGTACCTTTGGAGGTTCAGACTAACATGTAAGCTATATAATGTTTCAGGATGAGCTAGGAACTGCTGTCGTGTTTTACCAGAGAGTCAGTAAGTTCACCTATGCTTGCTCATTTCTGTTGTTAGTGACAGTCTCAGAACAGTGACCACAGAATACAGATGTAAAGATAATTTTTTTTATTAAAAGGGATATTACTTGTAAGACAGAAGTTTATTCCTATTGCTTTCAGCATGTATCAGTTGTTCCATGTAATACAGATATTCAAATATATACTTCGTAAGGATACAAAATTTAATCCAGAATTAGTAAGCTTTTATTCATTCTACAAAAACAAAAACCACTACTAATTAAGAGTTAGTGCTATGAATATCAGAGCAAAAGCTTAGCATGAAAGACGGAGAGAAAAATACCATTTTATTAAATCAAAATATTTGACCACAAAGTGAAATATTTTTCTGTGTTTTTCACGCTTTGATGCTCTGCATTGGAAATAAAAACTTATTTTTCTAATTATATCAACATGGTCTACTGTTTTCATTACTAATGAATACAAAAAGTGACAATCTAAGAGTAACTCAATAACAAAAATATACTTACCAGCTTTTCCTGGTTTTCTGTGTTTGTTCATAACCTCCTTCCTCTCTTTACCTCCCTCTACATCTATCCTATATGTACACGCCTATAAACACACACTTACCTGATTGGAATGAGTAACAATCAGAGTTCTCTGCTCTGGGAAATTATGGTAAATGTTAGATATGATCTGAACTGCCACATCTGTTTTTCCAGTACCTGGTGGGCCTACAACCTACAAAAGTGATGAACACATAGCAAATCAATAAATTAGAAAACAAAAATTCTAAAATTGAAAGAGAAAACAGATTTTAAAATTTACTAGACAAGTTCAATAATAGAATAAACAGAATAAAGTCTGAACTTGAAGCTACATCAACTAAAATTATCCAACAAGAACAATAAGTAGAAAAATTAGATTGAAACAAAACAGTCACATGAATCTGTAGGGTAATACTAGGTATCTTAAAATTCATGTCATTGATATTTTAGGAGAGAAAAAAGTATGCAGAAGATAGAAAATAATGGCTGAAAACTTCCCAAATCTAGCACAGAGATAACCCACAGATTTAAGAACCTCAGTGACCCTTAAATGAAATAATGCTGAAGAAATCAATAATTAAAAGGTTTTAGCCATTTTCTTTTTATAAAGAAAATTCTAATAACAACTGAGAAATATTATAGACTATGTCAAGCGCCTGCGATTTCTCTTAGAAACCATGGAAGCCAGAGGAAAGTAGAATAACATTTTAAGGTACAAAAAGGAAAGAACTATCAAGTCAAAATTCTATGTCCTGTGAAAATATCTTTGAAGAATGAAGGTGAACTAAGAGCCATATCACATGAAGAAAAGTAAAGATAATTTCACTGACAACAGAGTAGGTCTTAAAAGTTGTAAAGGAGTTCTTCTAAAAGAAAAGAAGTGAAACATCAGGAAATGAAGAACAGATGCTAAATATAACAGTCTTTTCTATAGTCCTTGAAAGTACAGTCTGTTAAGAACAAATTTTTACTTGCCTGATGGCATTTTCAATGTGTTTATGCAACACATTTAGTACAGGACAATGATAATATAAAAAGGAAGATAAACGGAGGTTAGGTTTCTAACTCAGAGACAAAAGAGACAAAATACTGGTTCTATGTAGACTGTGAAAAGTTAACTATGAATACAGTAATTTTCTATAGAGCAATCAATAAGAAAAACTATACAATAGAAATAATAAAAGATCATAACAGCTAATTATCAATAGAAATGAACATCAAAAACTATCCTGATAACCCAAAAGCAGTAGGAAAAGGCAAAGAGGAATATAAAACAAAGGGTACAATAGAAAACACATAATAAAATGATAGGTCTAAATCCAAACACATCAATAATTAAATTTAATATACATGACCTAAATATGTGAATTAAAAAGGCAAAGACAGAATGGATAAACCAATTGTAGGCTGTCTACAAAAAAAATCACTTTAAATATTAGAGGTAATAAAAAAAATGAGAAAAGACATATCATGCAAACACTAATCAAAATAAAGCTGTAGCAGCTACATTAATATAAAAGTAGACTTCAGAGCAAAGAAAATTACCAGTGATGACAAAAGTTATCAATTCATCAAGAAGATACAATGACCTTGTATGTATGTATGTATGTCTATAAACAAGGCTTTCTGTATTTATCTATCCACACTACTGTTATGGTCTGTAAATTACAAAAACTGATAGAGCTGAAAGGAGAAACAGGCAAATGTGTACTGGTACTTGGAGACTTCAATATTCTTCAGTAATCAACAAAAATAGGTTAAGTATCAATAAGGACAGAGAAATACTGAACCATACATCAACCAAGTGGATCTCACTGACATATACAGGATACCACACTCCAAAGCAATGTTAAGCTGGCGTATTCACCAAGATAAATCATATTCTGGGTCACAAGATAAAATTTTAAAAAATAAAAAAAAAATTGAAACCATACAAAGTATGTTCTCTGACCATAATGGACTTAGATCAGAAATCAATAATTGGAAGTAACAAGAAAATCTCTAAAATACTTCGAAATCAGTTGTCAACGACTTTCTATAACGGGCCAACAATCTCTATTACAAATGTATAATCTGCTTGTATAGCACAGAGGCATCCAAAGGCAATATATGAACAATGGACAGTGCTACATTCTAATAAACCTTTATTTATGAACACAGAAGTGACCATATTCATACAATGTCACAATTACTTATCAACACTTAGATTCGACTGGGATTTTGTGTTTCAAGTAGGAAGCACAAAACAAACTCTAAGAATCTGACAGTCCTAGTCTGAATCCAGACAAGAACACACACAGTAGTAATTCTCTTACCATAGTTAGCCCAGGTTGCATTCCAGCACGGATGGCCTCTATCTGTGTGTGAGTGAACTGAATTGTATTGCTGAAAAAGAGTAGATATCCAGATAAATAACATTTAGTAAAAAATTCAGACAATAACCAGAGGTCTAAACATCGGATCTGTATATGCCCCTGTTCTCCTAATCTCTTCTTTTCTCCATTCCAGCCTTGTTTGTGTGTGGGAGGTTGGGGGGAGGGGAAGAGGGAGAGAAATGGAGGGAAGTAAGAATCACATGACATCTACCTTCTTAATAAATTTCGAAAGTCTAATCCAGTACTATTAACAATAAACTCAATATTGTACAATAGATCTCTGAAATTTTTGCATTTTACATGACTGAATAACTCTTCTGAATGATTTTCTTTATCCTCATCCCTCTACAGGTTGAATAAATCTTGTAGAAAGAAAAGACTACAGTTAATTTTCAATATACTCAGAACATTCCATACCTCATTTGGAGTATACAAGTTCTAATTCCTAATCTAGTATCAAATATATTGCCACCTTATAAGTCACGGCATAAATACATGAGTTTACTGATATATGTATTACATGGCCTAGGTAAGAACTCTAGGCTCAAATTAAAGTAGCTTTCTAATATTTATTTCTCATTCTTTTAAAGATATGATTATTGAATGGTCAAAATGTCTAAACTATTCAGCTAAATGACAGAAGGAAAAAGGGTCTGAAAACAGAAGTTCCTGGAATTTTTAAAAGCATCAGAAAGTTCAAAGACATAACTAATCCATTTCCAAAAGCAAAAGATTATTCACTCTTACAATTAGCATTGATAGCAAAATTACCGTTTGGGTTGGTTGTAAGGGTAAGGGCCCCTATTAGGAATAACATGAGGTTCAACAATTAAGGTTTTTGCCTCTTCAGTGTCTTCATCTTCCCCACCTGCATCTTTTCTTTTCTTCCCTTTTCCACTTCTTACTGGAAAAGTTATCCTACAAGACCAAAACCTTTGTTGATTTTTACAATTAACTAACAATAATTTACCAAGCACCTATCAAATCAATACAAACCATCTGAACGTAATTTTTTTTTTACAGCAGATATAAAAGCACTAAAATGTTTGTTAAGGGTGTTCAAATTAGGGAAAGCTACCCAATTAGGGGAAAATCAAAGAAGAAACATTTATGTCACATATATTGCACAAAGTGCTTTTCAACACTGCCCTTCAATTAATTAGAAAAGACCTCATGGGAGAGGCATCAGTTGACTGAAGAATTTAGATGCACAAACATTGAAAGAAGACATTCCAGGAGAAAGCAGCAGCAGCAGACAGAGGCTCAAATGCAAGTAACTAGTTTTGCCAGAGCATTGGCTACAACAGGGAAAGTATGGCTGGACACAGGCCGGACCTTGTTTTTGCACCCTTGAAATATCAAGCCTTTAAGGCTGAAGTTCTTAGTCTGCCTTGGGACACCAGAAGAGGCAAATCCCAGTGAGCATCTGGGAAAGTCAATGAATATCCTAAATTTAAACTAAAAATTTTATTTGCTATGTGCATTTTTTCCAGTCTTACTTTGCACAGTAAAAAGACGGGTAGTGCTAAAATAAAAATGTTAGTAATCAAAGAGTCTAAAGCCCTTATTTTGATAAACAACAGGAACAATGAGTTTTTTAGTGAGGGAGTAGGACTCCAGCAGGAAGGCATGTGATGGGTCCATGTGAGGAGACAGACGGAGGAAAGCCAATGCTATCATACAGACGGCAGGTGTCATAAGGCCCAGAGAAACAGTCAGGAAGGACCTGGGGGAAAAGTGCCCTTAAGAGAGAGTCTGTAAGACAGCATGATTTACAGAAGTAAAAAGATTAAAAAATAATGTTGATATTTCATGATGGGCTGACTGGAAGAATGATTTTCCCATTGCCTGCCCATCCAGGTCCCAAGATGGGGCTAAACACTTACGCTAGCTGCCCTAGGTGCTTAATTCAGACTTCACTCCCCAGTGATTGAAATGACAGGTGCAGTTCTTATTTTACCTGAAAGGGGGTATCTGCAGAGCTGGGTCATCCACAGTGACTTTAACATTATGACCAGGAAAGCTGGCTTTTAAATGCTCAATGGAGAGAAATGTATCATTGAAATCGAGGGTGGAAATCTGATTGGGCATTTTTGAATAATGCGCACTGCTCGGGTCCCCATAACCTAAAATGATGTCATGCAGCCAGTCAGGTACCACACAGTCAGTGTTCATCAGGTTCCGAATAGTCTCCAGCACAGCCTGTCATAAAAGACAGAAAAGGATTATGTCAAGAAGACATTTCAAGCATTTGCACTTCAGTGGAATGTAGAGCTGCTGTACTAATCCAGAATTCCTGTGTGTTTCAGGGCAAGAAGCCATTTTCTGCTGACAGGTGCTTGGCTAGACTGAATCAACAGCTATATTTTCAGCTGATACCATACACTGAGTTAAACAAAAGACCAAATTTAGCAAGGACAGTTTATCCTTCAGGAGTTTAGTCAGAATGTCAAAAATGAATTTACCACTTGACTACTGAGGGGTTAGATGAAAATTTGATCAAGTCTACACAACAGCAAGAAAATATTGTAGAATAAACCTTTAAAGCAAATGCTTCCTTTTAGAAACTCCTGGTGTTTTTCCCTCTATTTCCTAGGCCTTCAAAGCTAATATCCCACAAAATCAGGAGTACAATAATAAATGCCTCAAATGTAAAACATATAACAAATCAGAAGCAATAAGTTGATAATACTGGAAATAAAAAGTGACCCAAATGATAACAATGAAATGTTAAATAAATAAAATTCCATAATGAAGGAATCATGGCTACAATAAGAGATCACTATAATAGTTACATTGGAATTATCCAAAGTTAACTACCAAAAGCCAAAGTAAATTCATATACTGTTGAATCACTATTTCAATAAAGTAACATATGCTACATAATAGAAATCAGAATTCTAGGCTATTAATTTCAAAGAATAAGATGCCCAACTGGTCATTTTCATATCATAAATGCCATACACTTCAGTAAGACAACAAATAACATGATGTGTATGTTAATTACTTCATCTTCTTTTCATTTTCTTGCACATACTAATTACTATGCAAAATTTTCTTATTCATGTACTCAGTTACTTCATCATTCTTCTAATTTTCATTAGAATATCATTTCCACGAGAGCAGTGAATATGGGACTGGCTAAATGTATGAACAGATCGATAAAAATGAATGTTCACCTAATATAAATGAGAGCTCTATGCTCCAAGGAAGTTAAAATTCTAATAAAGAGATAAAATAAAAATGTTACAAATATATAAAAATGATCAAAATACATCAAATAATTTAGAATAATGACACTAAGTGGCAAAATGGGACAAGCAGCAAAGGAAATACAATGAAAACATACTTAAATGAGAAGAGTGATGGATCTATGGCATTTGGGAAGGTTTTATAGAGGAAAGTAACAATTTGCCTTAGATCAAAGCAAAGCTCCACTGAAGGCAAAATGATCAGTGGGAATATATGAAAAGTGGGTGTTCATGAGAATAGGGGCATGACAGGAGGTCAATGCAACTGTTCAGTGAGGTATGCAGGTTAGGGCAGCCCACACAAACCCAGAAAAGAGTGAAGGAAATCAGTGAGGAACACCGCCAGGTACATCAAGAAACGCTAAAGACTCTCAGAGCATTCCTCCTTCCCCAAACATAGGCAAGTTAATCGTGCCCCCTCTTTCTTGGACAAGAACTTGAATGCCTCGTTTGACCTTCTACACTTTTATCTGCATTGGCATCTTTGAACTATTCTTGGTAGTTACTTGCTTCTATCTCTCGCTTCCCTTCTTAGTAACCTAAACTTCCTAAAGGGTTAAGCTGTGTCTTAAGCATCTCTATTAGTTCCATGTAACTTAGCAGAATACCACATACAGAGTAGGCAAAATAAAATGGGTAAAGAAACACCAGTTTTCTCATGTTCAGTGAAGTGACTGAAAACAGACCCTGTTCTGATAGCATGCATTTAAACATATAATATATACCTGTCAGGTATAGTAAAGGCAATGGGGGGAAATTTAGATAACTGGATTACTGACGCTGAGAAGGGGAGATGCCACTTTAGATGATACTGCAAAGAGGAGGGCTTCTCTGAAAGTGACATTTAAATAGAATGGTCCATGTAAAGAAGGCAATGCACCATGCAAATACTTTGAGGGAGACTAGGTAAAGGGGACACTGCATGACAAGGCCTGGGTTTTTAAGGAACAGCAAAAACGGTCAGTGTAGCTGGCATGAAGTGAATGGGGGAAAGTGACAGGCAACAATGCTGGAAAGGATCAAAGGGTAGATACTGAAGGGGTTTCTGAGTTATGGTAATGACTTCTAATATGATGGAAAACTATTAAAGAGTGCTAAATAGGGCTACAGAGGTATACTTTACATTCAATGCTATCTGCAGAATAGTGTAAGTGGAGGAACGTCAAGAATGAAAGCAGGGATGTGAGGTAACAGGATCCTGGATGTGACATCTGTGGAGGTGATGGGTCCTTAAATTTTTCTTTTCTATATATATTTATATTCGTCAAGAATTTCAATAAAGGAATTGTTTAGAATGAAAATAAAACAGGGTTATTATCTTAACTTTTTTCCTTATGAAGTATCTACATATTGTTATCTTAAGTTATTCAAATTATAACATGGTACTTTTAGTTATATAGCCCAAAAATTACCTTAAAGTTATTTTCCTTTGGTTTTCTCCTCATTATTATATTGAAAGTTTCATATACATCTTCTGCTCCATTTTGTATAGTACTGGTCATATCTTGTTGGTACTGGTTTGGATCCAAAAATACTCTAAATGTCCTTGACTCTCCTCTAAGATTGGGTCTGGGTTCAGGTCCTGGACATTAAAAATAAAATTGGTAAATGAAACATTGACTTTGAAAATACTGAACTAAGTTTCCTTTTCTGGAAATGACTAAAGCATCTAGGCTTAACTCAGCCACTTCCTCTCCAATTAGAATGTTTTCCACTCATCCATCAAATCCCAAAGAATGGAATTGTTTCCTTTTTCTAAATTCTTACCAGTTCTCATGAGACAGTCATGTAATATTTATGATGCAATACCATGAACTACAGTTATTTGTACATGCCCCCTTAGAAGTTAAAAAATTTCTCTTTACTCTTGTGCTAGCCAGATACAGTAAATACTCAGCTGGCCACTCTTCATCCTTCTAAATCCTTTCCTTTTATGCATCAGTACAAAAGGACATTTTATGAATACACATACAATTTTATGAAAAACTCAAGAGCTTTTTCTTGTCCCTTTGCTTTATTTTCCTTTCTTTCAGTCTTAGACCTCAAACTCTGGTCCCATTATAGGGCCTTGTTCATCCTTCCTATTCCCAGTTTCCTATGTTCTTGTCATTTAGTTATAGGAGTGGCCTAACTATAAGAGTTAGCACTTTAGCAATGGTGTGATCTCAAAATAAAAGGTAGTCATTGTAGAAGTTAATTCAAGAGAAGTTTAGTAACCAAATTATAAAAGAAACATTGGGTAAGAATTCAGTTATACTTTAACAGCATTATAAAAGAAAGGTCAGGACAGTATAAACATTTCAAAGAAAGATCAATAAACACCCTAAGAAATCAAAGTGCTGACTAACAGTCTAAAGCAGTGGTTTTAAATAGGGGGAATGCTGGCATCTTAGGGAGGACAGTTCCTTTTCTTAGTTCTATTTAGATGTTTCACATCTCTGGACTTCTTCCATCAAATGCCATAGCTCAGTACACCCTAGCCATTTGACAACATAAATATCACCACATTGCAAAATACAGGATAGTGCTATTCCCAGTTGAGAACTAATATATAACTAATCAAATCAGTAAAACTTAAGAAGAAAAAATTAGGCATATATATTTCTGAACTATAATGAAAGTTTTTTGTAAAAGTAGTATTATACAATATCAAGATGGGAAAGTTTTAAATAAAGGTAATTTCAAAAGATCCTATCCTTTTTAATACCTAACACCAAAGTTTAGAACCCATATTACTTATTTCTAAAACTGGGCTGCATACACCTTACACAAATTTTATATATAATTCTTTGTGACAATTGGTATATAACACAACTAAAAATATTACCTCTGATGCAAAAGGAAAAAAGGCCAAGAAACTGATCATTAAGTTCATAGTCTTTCAAAAGTATGAATTACATACCGTCTTCAATGACACGCCCTTTATCATCCAACATGCCCTGGATTTCACAGCCTCTGACATAAACCAGGCCAACCTGCTCAATAAAAGGTCTTCTCCGATCAAACTTGGTACCATAAGGCTTTGTGGGACGCACAGTAATTAAAAAGCATACATCATGCTTACGAAGCCCTGGTAAAACAAAGGCATTTCACATATAAGAATGTTATTATCTTCAGTCTTTTGTTGGCCAGCCCTCTTCAACCTTATACTTAGAATAGATATAAAATAATTAAAACTACTGTAGATGATCGATGGTAGCTGCATTGTAATTCAATTGGTTTTCTTACAGTCTTTAATACTTACTGCTTGATAGCAATCATTAAAATAAAAATCTGTATTAAAGTTAGAAACTTTTATGCCACAAATACTACCTAATAAACCCCCAAGTAATGCGATAGCTCCAAAAGGGCCTGCTTGTCATCATTCTTATATTCAACATTCTTAGTAAGTAACCTAAAGTATGGTTGGCATATAATAAATCTGCATCACATTTAACAGGTTTCTAACATCAGTTTAAACTATTCATCAGTGTCTTCCAACAACAGTCTAATTGCATTTCACAAAAGGAGGTCAACTCAAGAATAATTCATCACAACACAAAAGCACTGTTTACAGATAGCATCTTGAGAAGAAGGTTGACTATATATAGTTTCAGTTAACAAATACTGAACAATTTTTATAGGTGAATGTCAAGAATAAAAGACTTTCGCCGGAGTCCACAGCTTCTCAGCCTTAGAGTAATTCAAAAATTAAAAAGTAAAGACACTAGAACACAAGGCACATGAATTCAGAACACACAGCATGTAGTATCATAATACTCGGTTTTTTAGTTCTTTTCTGATCCATTTGTTAGACACTGTATGGCATAAATGCAAATTTAATCAGTCTACTTGTTTATAAGCTTGGTAATAAGACATACAGTTAAATCAAATTAGTAATATTGGTATATGGTTAATAGTATTGGGACCATTCTGGTATATTTTAATATGGAGTGGGGTTTGGGTGTGCTAAAAATAGTACCTGATTCATAACATGAATAGTTATTTCTCAACAAATTCTATACAAAGAAATAAGAGAAGGAGGACTACAGACAACTGTTCCATTGAGTCTGAACAACTCATTAAAACTTCTAAGTCTTAGAAAGAAGTGGTCATGAGAAAGAAGTAGTTTAGTCTACCAGTGTTACTTTTTGGCATCAGAGGGCTGACTGGCCATCTGTTCCCTTCTAAAGCAGACTTTACAGTGGGACATCTCATATCTACAGTAAAAATACCCATCTTATAACAAGCTCAACTACGGCTCTGCATTCAGCCATTTGCATCTGCTCTACCCTGGCTATGCCTTCTGGAGCAGAATCCAGAATTTTCATTTCACGAATTCCTTAATTTTAAATGGGTTAATAGAGAAGAAAGTCCTGAGCTCCACACTTCTTGAAGGGACAAGAATTTGGCTTAAACTCTTTTTTTTTTTTTTAAGATTTAGTTATTTATGCATACAAGAACTGGGGTACAGACATACAAGAACTGGAGTATAGGCCTATAGCCATGGGATAGAGGTTGTGGAGAGGATTCACCTGAGACAGAATAGGAAGCAGAACAGGCAGACCTACTGAAATACACTGCTGAGGGGAGCAGCAGGCAGGACAGGAAAGATTTATTGTGCCATGTGGGTCACCTCCCTGGCCTGGCATCGAACTCATGCAGCAGTATTTATGGATAGCTTCATAATGCTGCCCTTTAAACTGTTGTGCCCCCAGGGGTAGGGGTGGGGGGCTGACTTAAACTCTTTAAAAACTATTTTTGCCTTGAAAGACAATATTCATCACCATCTATAGAATCTCCCTCCCGTTTTTGTTCTTTTTTCCCCCTATGGTTTATTGCATCTGTGACTAATATAGGGTCTTAGTATTAGCTGTGGCACTCTGAAAACACCTTTACCACCATGCCCCATGGCATGAATCCCTTATCTCACTATACCTTACTGTTCCCTCTCTTGCCCATCAAAACTCACCTATTCTATTTTTAATTTTACCAGAGGCCTACACTTAAAGGGTGAAAAAAAAAACAGTGAGTATCCTGATAACAATCTCCAAAGTAATGGAGGAAAGGAATTCTGGTAAAACATTCTTTTGTTTTCTTTCTTAACACCATAATACGGACTACAGAAAAGTGATTTTTCTCTTTTATTAAGTTTTACTTCCAATCAGGAACTACTTCTAGGGGTAATGAATAAGCCATTTCAGCTTATTATCTACTATGTGAAGCAGTGTTTATTTTAATACCTTTTTAAGCTCCAAGAAGTAATAAATGTAAGACCTCCTCTAGCAACTTAATGTCTTTCTTGAGTTTCAATATGTGTTATTCTGGAATGCTACCTATCAGATCATAACCCCTTTGAAGAAAACAGGAGTCATAAAAATAACCTGTAATAAACTAGATGTATTACAATGATCATCTGCTTAACATCTGACCAGTTTTGTTGCTAGATTTCTTCAGAGTAATTTGATGAATATATCATATAGTTTCTATATTTATAAACAGCTATATGGAGAACAATAATTCCTAAAACTGAATTATTAATGGCCTACCCCTTTCCTTTTGGAATACCAAGAAGATGAAAGGAGATAAAACCTACTAGGTATGGTTTTCATACAGAGCAGTAAACAAGAGCACTCCCTGATAGCTGGGAGAGAAATATAAAAATGCCAATTAAAAGTCAGTTCATGGGTCATTTCTGGCACAGATACCACTGTTTTACCTATTTCTGACTTAGTACTTTGAACATGCCTGCCTCTAAATAAAATTAACTGTGACACAACACTTCCATCCTATAAATCTTGTACTAATAAAGAATAAGGACAATGATTCATCTAAATCTCTCAGCAAGTATTGTTTATTCTGCAGTACATCTTATTTCACTGATTCTTTATATGCCCTCCTTTGGTGCAAATAAACTACTAGTTTTCTTTTTGAGTTGTTTCCTTTTGAGTTTGTCTAATTTTGGTTTGGTATCTTTGTTTTCCACATATAGTATGCATTGCTATCCTCTTTACTTTGACTGCTTTTATTTTTGAAAAATACCAGTTTTCCTTGTTTGTTTTTGCATAATTTGTATGCAAATTCTAAGTGGGGTTTGTTCCTTCTTTAGGACACTAATATATTTATTCTTTCTATATTGATCCTACAAATTTATGAATATTACTTTACTAAACTGATGACTTAAGGTGTCACCATCTTGGGTTTGAAAACTGCAAATTGCGTAACTTTGATATGCACGTTATACATTATGCTTTTTATTACAGTGTTATGGTATTTCATTGTTCTTGTATGATACTTGGCATTTTACTACTAATATTTACAAAGACACCTGTCATTCTGTACATCAAAATTTTAGACAAAAATGTAATAGAAGTCTAGAAAGGTAGCATTTAATAAAAGTGTTTTTCTAATGTCGTAAGTCAAAGCCTGTAAGCCAAAAAGGCAAAAGCAACTTCACTTTTGAAATGCAAAATTACCTTCCCATTCATCTTTAATGTGGTCTCTGACATTGAGATTGATGGTAACATCTGCACGGACTCGGGTTGGCCAGTTTTCACCTATGTTGGGTTTGGCAACTTCAACCACAGTGAAAGCCACAATGGGCTGTGCCATTCTTGCCCAACCACCAAACACAACACCGCCGTACTCAGACTGCCTGAAAACCAAAGAAGTGGGTAATTACTCAACCAAAAACAACTTCTGAATTAGTAAATAAGAGCACATAATTAACCAGTATTTGAACCCTCACACTAGTAACTTCTATTTCTAAACTTTTAAAAATATCTAAGGACCAATATAGGGAAATAGCTACGGTAGTTAACAGGTAAATATGGTCCAATAAAATAATGTATACACCTTTGGGGAAAAAGATAGCTCTATGTATATGAGCTCTAAATTGCTGTGTTAATGAATGAAATAATACAGTATACCATTTGAAATTTTGTATTTTCATCATTTCCTCCTTTATCTCATCTCAATCATTTATAATTTCTTATATATTTTAAGTATTACTCTAAAGTGCTTCAAAAAGACTTTAGAACATACTAGAATTTAAAAAATTAAAAACAAGTTAAAAAAAATCCATGCAAATGTCTCCTTTAGGGCATAATATTTAAACAACTTAAAAGATGCTGCCATAAACTGGGGAAGAAATAAATGAACTAGCTGTAATAACTAAATATACTAACATCCAAATAATCATTTTTTCTTCTTATACTAGTCCAAGTAATTTGCATTAAACAGTGTATTTGGGAAATCTGTAATGTAAAAGCTGCAGCAACACTCCAAAGTTGGAAATTACTGCCAAAAGTCATGCGCTTACATTATTTTAAAAACTGCACCATATATAAAAGTTTTGTGTCACAACCAAAAATTGCAGAACTTCATCAAAGAGAGAAAGCAATTAAGTATTCTACAATCCAATGACTTTGTTAGTACTGGGGCAATTTCAAAAAGGCATGATCTTGCAACTAGCCCCGTGTGCAATAATAACTTGATATCACGCTCAACATGTTTTACAACTTTACTGTAATAGTCTATATGCCATAAGGTACACTTATGATAAATGTACAATTCAATGGTTTTGAGTAAATTTATAGTTGTGGGCCTACTACCATAATCCAGTTTTAGAATTTCCATCACACTTCAAAAAAGATCCCTCTCATCCAACTGTATAGTCAATCTGTTTGTATAACCAGGCAACCACTAATCTTCTTTCCCTGCTCATTTTTCCCCTTGTAAGATGAACCAGCAACATGAAGCATTAAAAAGTATAGGTTTCTGCCCCTGGAAGCATATCCTCTCTTAGCACCCAATAGTTTCAGCAGCATGGACAAAGGGCCATTAGAATCATGCAAAGAGTAAAGATGTTGTGTCTCCACCTTCAAGATCCATGGGCCAGAGACAACAGTGGATGACCCATTAACCAGTTTCCTATATTGGGCAATTTAAAAAAAACAAAACAAGTTATCACAGGTGATAAGAAACAGATTGGAAAAAAAGACATTATTTCTTTCCCCTGCAGAAAAATGATTTAAGTAAAAAAAAAAGAAAGTACTCCTTTATTGACAAATTGCAGGATCTCCAACAAGTATGCTTGTTTTCCTTGGCATTTAAGTCTATTAAGTTTATTTGATTTCCCTGGTTAAAAAACTGTTTGCAAAATGGCCAAAATCAGGTCCAGAATCTGAGCATGTAAATGCAAGGTAACCATAAATTGTAAGCAAGTTTTCTAATCAAGCAACCCCCTCCCCTCATCCCCAGGGCCCAAAACAGTGGGCAGTAATTTCAGCAAAGCTGTGGGCAGGGAGGATCAGCCAGTGGGTATACAAATTTCACAGCGCTAGCTTGCCTACTGACTCAACTGATTATTAAGTCAAAAATACTTTGTTGTGTTTTACAGTCTCACCCAGAATAACTTTTCACATAATAATTAATTAAAAAAATAGAACTGTGTATGAACAATATGAAAATGAAAATAGATCATAATCATAGTGTCCATGCAGCTCTCTGTAATTAGTAAAGAGAAGCCCTGAAGACACCTGAAACAGTTCATTTTCAAAAATTGTTTTGTTTTTCATAAAGATGCAGTGTAACTACATATGTGATTTTATTTAATGTAATACAAATCCAATCTACATAATTGATTTATTTACTTTTATAGTTATTTACTTTTTTATAGTTATTTACTTTAATAGTTATTTATGATCTAGAACATCTCCATCAATTTCACATATAGACTAAAATAATGAACATAAGCTATTTGCACTGTTAGTCATGTCTTAAAAAAAAGAGAAAGCTTCACAAATCTTGTACAGAGTGTCCTACAACAATTAGCATGACATTTTTTGCTTTGCTAAAGAAATTAAAGACATGAGCTAGCGGGTGGGGAGTTGAATTTAAGTAGAAGAGTTCCTTAAGTAATGAGACATATTCCACTGGTGTTAAAAGCAACTGCAGATGACTTAGCTTCTTCAAGACAATCTGTGGACAGAAAGTAAGGGAAAACTTCCCAGTGTTCCACTTCATGCAATGTACAGCAACACCCTAAACTGCCCGTCAGGAGCCTTAGAAGAGACTGGTCTAGTGGTGATAAGCACAACCACTATCCTTTTATTATAAACTTCTTCCAGGACCTAAACTGCCTGCTGGCCAAACCATCTCTTGCCCTCTTCATCCTTTTACTAATGTCCATCTTACTCTCCTCCACACTAATCCCCTAATTCCACCCCCCATCAGAGAGTACTGTGACCTCCTCCGTCTTATCCCTAGTACCCCTGGCCCATCCAATTACTCAGATACATAATTTATATTTTAGCACATCTAATATATTCTAATTCTAATTCATATTAAAGACAGCATTATGTCTATCTTTAAAACAAAGAATAGAAAGAATTACATCTCATATTATGAAGGGCATTCTCTTGCAGTATATATTATTTCTAAATACACTATGACTGACATAAGTATGTGAGTCACTGCCTGCATCTTTTTTGCAAATGGAAACAATTTACTAACCATGGCTTCATTCTGCTGACACTGTCCTCAATGTCCTGTCTGATTTCATAAGTTGATTCCAAGCGGAAGAGATTAAAATTCCTTAGGAGATAATCATGAAGAGTCAAAAACTGCAAATTCAACTTGGGAAGAGCAAGACAACCTGAAAGAGAAAATAACATCCATATTTGAATTATTCTTTCAATGAGACACCTGGCCAATGTATTTTTAAAAAATGCACCACAAAACAAACAAAACAAGCACCACAAATTGGTAAGTCTGCTTTAATATCTGCAATAAAGCAGACAGTATTTTAAGAGCTCTTATTCTGATTTTTTTTAAGCTTTTTTTTTTTTTTTAAAGATTTATTTATTCGTTCATACAGAGCTGGGGTACAGGCCAGACACTCAGGGGCGGCGAGAGGCTTTGCCAGAGACAGAGTGGGGAACAGAACAGATCGACAAAGTACACTGCTGAGGGGAGCAGCGGGCGGGTCAGGAGAGGTCTGCCACACCATGTGGTCACCTCCAGGGCAGGCGGGAATCGAACTCATGGGGAAGTGGCTTTAGCTTCTGAGTGCTGTGCTTTAACCCGCTGTGCCACCAGGGAGGGCCCTCTTATTCTGATTTTTACACAAAAACTGAAGCCAGTTAAAAAATGCTATATTAAGAATTAGGATTATAGGATAAATTTCATTAAATGTAATCTGCATATCAATGTTTCATATATAAAATGGTGCCTCTAAAAAGTATTGAAGTAACTTAAATAATTTAAAAATATTTCCTTTACTACCCAGCTTATATCTGGCAAATCTCTGTGAAAATAATACTGTCATTACCATATTAACCCATGACAAAATTTACCATGAAAATGAATGACTATATATTACATTGTACTATTCTATTTCTAGTGATAGCTACTGGTCTCTGAATCTTTTGTCCTTTTTTTTGTTAAATTTTAAGAATAAGGTATTGACTGTTTTTCTAGGAGCTGTCTTGGTAATTAATGAACAACAGATTTCCATTATCTTCACTTAACATTATTTACTTGGATAAATGACCAAAATACTTACCCACATACCACAGTATCAAAAAGACTTAAAAAGCTCAAACATATTTTACTGTCTATTTATCTTTGTCTCTAATCCTATATTATAAAGAGATAAAACTGTGTTTCAAGGAAACTAAATAAACAGGAGTTATAACTTTCATTATATAACTATCATAGGCTATTTTATAGTGTTCTATTTTTTCAAACTTTCTTGGAAGGCTTGTAAAATCAGCCTACACTGTAAAATCAGATAATGCACCACTCCCCCCGAAAGACATCATCATTTGTTGGTAATAAACCCTTGTTCTGACCCAAAATGCTACTGCATAGAAGACTCACCTTCTTGTGTGTGTGTGTGTGTATTTTTTTTTTCTTGTATATATTTTTTAAAGATTTATTTGTTTATGCATATAGAACTGCACATAGAACTGGATGAGGATTCACCAGAGACAGAGTGGGGAGCAGCAGGCAGGTCAGGAGAGGTCTGCTTTTCACTTACTCACTATGGGTGAGAATTTGCCACAACTGACTATATGACAAAGTGCATTCTGACACCATTTAAAGATATATTTCACAAAAAATTTAGGGAATCTTTTGGACAATGGCATATTTTTGGAAGAAATGTGGCTATTTTAAATACATGTATATAAACATAAACACATACACTCACACACCCCTCAAGAAAGCATGGTTAAATTGAATAAAAATCCTCAGTGCTAAACATTTCAAATAGTGAAGTTTCTAACTTTGAAAGTTTAACTTGAGGGTACCAGAAAATTATCCAAATGTACAAAGAAGGCATTCTTTGTAGATAACAAATGATGAATTCTGAACTGAAGTTCATATTGCACTTGAATTCTATGTTGGTTAAGCATACCTTCCCCAGAATAGTATTCAGTTGGAACAATATTTTCATCCCATATGATTTTTTCAGTTGGATACAGTGGCATCTGGTTTAACTGCTGAATCTGAGATATACGCCGCTCGTGACGAGATACCTAAAAGAAGTAAGATGATGCAGTTAGGGGCACCTTTTTTTAACTGAAACATTTTATGGAGAAACCCACCATAAAGTATGGAAAGAGGTTTATGACTTTCAGTTATTATAGTACTTAATGACTTTTTCTTTTGCTATATTCCTCATAAATCAAAGATGACAGAAGTATCAATTATGAAGATTTTTGGAGTCGGACGGATGTAAGTTCAACTCTCAGCATCTGTATGATGAGCTATGCAAAAACAGGGCAAGTTACTTCAATTTTCCTGATCTTAGTTTCCTTTGCAGTAAAATAGAACAAACACCACTTCTCAGGTTTCTTGTGAAAACAAAAATGAATAATAAAATCATAATTCATAAAAAACATGAAATGAAAATTGGTATAACTTTAAATTTTAGGGATGAAATCTTAGCTATGAGACCCTAAAAGGCATAGATAAATTTTATAGTCAATGAACAGTATCAAAGTACCTGATATATATCTTGTAGCAAGAATGTAAAGCCAGAGGAGTTAATGTTCACCAATTTAATAAAAAAAAAAAAAAGCCCTAAGTTCTAGGTTACAGTTTTCATTCTAGCTAGAGAAACAATCACGGGGAAGTTTATTCATTCTCTGGTCTCAGGCTTTTCCCTTATGAGAGGACTGGACCTGATCACCATGAGCACTTCCACTGTTATTATTACAACCTATCTCAAGTGGGGAAAAAGCTTCTTGTTCAATTAATACATGCTGAATAAGAACACACTTGAAAAAACAACAGTCTTCAATAAAGTTGTATTTTATAAAAGATGAGTGATATCATCTAAACAATAAGCTTATTTCAACTTTAGAATGATAATGTAGATATTAGAAAAATCCAAAGCCCTAGGAAGTCCCTTAAGAAATGGCAGAAATGAAGAGGCAATGCTGTAGTATATACATTTTAAAAATTATTTTCTTTTGGTGTAACTTTACATTTTAAGGATGAAATCTTAGCTATTAAGACCCTACAAGGAATAGGATCAACTTTATATTCAAAATTATTTCCATCAGAAAGATTCATGGAAAATCCCTCATTTCTTTTTATAGTAAGGATTTATTATAAATGCCTAAAACCTGAATTAAAGAGAATTTTCTATTGTCAGAAACAGGACAAGGAATTTTTAGGAAGTATCTGTAGCCAGAAACAATGAAAGGTGATTTCTAAGAAGTAAAGATGGTTACCTAAGACATAGTACATATAAGTCATATAAGTAAATATATCAATAAAAGAGCATTTCCATTCTTGAATTAAAACCCTTCCCAAAAATTTCTCCCCAGATGGCACTGAAACAACTGTCATCAAGCTTAAAACACCTGTTACACATAGTTTCTTGTTACAACCTCCAAAAACTTGTATGCCATTTTCTTTTCTTAAAAATATTAGCTTGGACTATAAATCACTAAACTATGTGCTAAGTATGGTTTCATGTCTTTAAAACATCAACACAGTGTATGTGTACAGAGGTATAAAAAATTATCCACAAACACAGGAAAATCTATTCAACCTTATAGCAGTCAGGAAATAAAAAAAATTAAAACTAGGTACTAAGCTTTTACACATGAGACAAGCAGAACTTGGGAAGATTCATAACATTTTGTGCTGAAAAGAGTTCAGGGAAACATTTTAATTTCTTGGTGGTGAGAACACACAATTCTTAGAGGATAATATGGCTGCATCTTTTATCTTCTAAATAATCACACACTTTAATCAAATAATTTGACTACTTGGTAGTAATGTTCTAATGTTCATGTATGGGCACTAAAGAACATGCACAAGGTTTGCAACATTATTTGTAATAGTGAATTTTGCCAAAACCCCAAATATTCATAGCAGGAATATGGTTAAATACTTATGTATTTTATGTAATATTTTAGTGAAGTTAAAAATATAGTCTATCACATTCTCTTAATTTTGATGTGAATTTAAAACTGGTCAAAAAATTTTTATCAAAGCAATATTAATATGAGAGTTACAGTCTTTCACTTCCCAAAATGATAGAACATATAGCATTCTTAATCTGCTGAGTCAAGTATCACCCACTTTATTACTAAACATTTCTGAGTTTCCTGGTATTAAAGGTATATCTAAATATTCCAGGTACTATATTTATAGGAATATGTGCATAAAGTGTATGCATCTGCGTGTATGTAACAGTGATCTCCTATAGGCAGAGATGGCATCAGCTGCCTAAATCTGGTATTTAACAATGAAGCTACTTATAAATGTCTGCATGGAATGAATGAGAAAAAATAAATCTGACAAAGCAAAATTAATAAAATTCCAAAACAGGTAGAACTCACCAAACTAATCTTTAGCCCAGAAAACAAACAAACAAAACCCAAAAAACCCAGACTAACCTATCTCCTTAAAGTGATTTAAAAAGTCTGGGGAAACCACATGCAAAATTCAAAAAAATTGATATTTACCAGCAATTCTAGAAGAAATTCTTTATCAAAAGTCGTGTCTTCATTTTTAGGAAGCGTTGGTAACAGGCAGAGGTATGATGCCACCTGGTGGAGTGTATTTGAACTGCAGAATAAAGAATATTCAGACCACATTTTCTTCACTTTTGTAACATGCAGTTTTAAAAATTGCTTATGAAGTTTCATCTAGCAAATACAGTCTTTTTACATGGGCAGAGAATGTAATAAACTGGCAATGAAAACTATCCTTTTTAAACAGTTGTCAAATAGTCTTCTATAAGCCATTGGTGGTCCCAGAGATTGCTTCTGGATCAGCAAAGACAATTTTTTTTTTATATCAACAGTTCTTTTTTGGTATTAATACTAAGACTTTTTTTCATTATGCTTAAATCTGCAATAACAATGCAAGAGTAATGGTGCGTAACAATGAGGGCATGAATCAAGGCAGGGGCATCAACCAGTGCAGTATATTATCATATTCCTCATTCAAATAGGCACTTAAAAAAACAAATAAGAACTTCATAATAACATCCTTGATGAAGCATTTAAAATATCAATTAATTTTGGAGTTCTTAGGTATCTATACTTCTAAAATTCTGTGCGGTAACACATTTTGCACATAATTTTTACCCACAAGAATGACTTGTGAATGAATGATTATTCAGACTTGAATAAAGTGCAAATGTTTTTCAAATTTGAAAACAGACCTGTAACTTTAAGGAAAACTACTGATATTTGCTACCAATCATAAAATTTGAACTTCCAAGCAAAAGTTACAATTTTATGAGACCTGCATTCAAGCGTTTGACACTTATCATTACTTACATACATTGCCTCCCCAAGTCTCTTCAGGCCACCTTATATTAAATTTTCTATCTTATTATCTGGTAAAATGTTTCCAATCTCTATATAATTCTGCTTTTCCCAAAAAGCCAGTAGGTAGCATCATACATCACTGTTGTGATGCAACACTGGTTGCTTCCACACAGCGTAATACAGCGCGTTTTACCCACCTTGTTGCTCGTAAATAATCACATTGCTCTTAACAAAATTTTGGTCAATGACAGTCACAAATACAATGGTGGCCTTAATATACACTATACTAAATAGTGTCTAGTATAATACATTATACACGTAGGTGTGTAGTAAATGGACTCTACCATCTAGGTTTACAATTACATTCCATGACACATGCACAATACTGGTATCACCTAGTGATGCATCCCTCAGAATGTATCCCATCATTAAGCAACACATGGCACTGTTTATTTTTCTTGCTGAGTAGTATTCCATTATATGAATATCTCTCAGTATGTTTATTCATCTCCAAGATGAAGGACATTTATGTATTTCAGTTTTTAACAACTAATCATAAAGCCTTTATATACATTTCTATACATATGTGTGTGAATAGAAGTTTTCTGTCTCTTTAGTAGATCTGTGAGACATCAGATCATGCAGTAAGTGCATATTTACCTTTATTAGAAAATGTCAAATGTTCCCCAAGTGGCAATACCCTTTCTAATTCCTACCAGCTATGAATGAGAATCCCAATTGTGCTACATTCTCATCAAGAATTCATATAATGCTCTTGTTATAACAATTCTAATAGGCACACATGGTATCTCTTAATGACTTAAATTTGCAATTCCCTAATGATGCTAAATAAGCATCTTTCCTATGAGAGCTATACCTGTGTTGGTCTAGTGACTATTCAAATGTTTTGCCTTTTTTTTTTAAGCCATTTTCTACTATTGAGTTCTGAAACATCTGGATCATCATCAATTGGTATTTAACCAAAATTGTCTCCTTTGGGTGTTTTCAACCGTTCAGCAATTTTTTTTCAGAGTAGTTTTAAATTTAGATAAAATTCAATTGGCAATTTGGGTAAAATTCAATTTGCCAATCTTTTTCCATAAGGATTATGCTTTGAGGTTTATAAAATTCTCTGCATAAACCATGATCACAAAGATTCTCCCATATTCCCTGTAAGTTTTAGTTTTGATATTTAGGTCAATGATTCATTCTCAGTTAATCTGTGTATATGATGGAAATATGGATTAGATCTCATACTCTGCATATGATTGGCCAATTATTCTACCAGCATCAACAAAATTATCCTTTCTTCATTGAGTTGTTTTGGCACTTAAGGAAAAAATCAACTAATGATGTATCTGTAGTATATTTTTGAATTATATTCTCTTTTATATATATATATATATACACATATATACATATACACACATGTTTGTGTGTGACTTCTCTTTTCATTGTTTTAACTACTACTGCCTTATAGAAGTTTTGAATTAGGTAGTAGTAATCTTTGTTATTTTTCAAAATGTTTCAGCTATTCTACTTTGTCTTTTCATATTCGTTTCAGAGTACATTTGTCAATTTCTTTAAAACATATTGCTGGGATTCTGATCGGAAGTGAATTATTTATCTGTAGATCAATTTGGGCAGAATTCATACCATAACTTAGTCCTCTCATTCATAGCTATGTCACATGTCTCCATTTCAAAAATGAATGCATGTCCCAAACATGGCTTGAAATTCTACAGTGAACTAACTTTTAAAAAACCACCATTTGTCAAATTTTGACATATATCAAAGAAGAATATTCTCAGTAATTTGAAAAAGCTATTAAAGTACATTGCCCTCTATGTAAAAATGCTCCTCAGTCACATCTCTAATAGACGTACATATATGCTGGTGTCTTCTTTATGTTTATGATTGATAGAATATGTGTTATCTTCTACTCAAACACTTAGGATCTAAAAATATGCTACGAAAATATAAATTTTAACCCCCTCACCAAAAAAAAAAAGAGCATGGATGATTATATTTAGGTGAATGAAAGATACCAAATGGTAGGAGGAAGAATTATTTCCAGATGTCAATAAAGAATAGTACAAAAATAACATTATCTGAAGTAGTGAAAAATGATTAAAAGCTTAAGAATATCAAAATTCAGGAGAAAAAGAGACTGTATAATTCTCCTTCACACTACCTTACCTAAGATGTCCAAAAAACTTGACCAAGGAGCCACGAGTATCTACTTCTGCCACATTTGAGAGGGCAAAATCATAGAGTTCAGGGAAATGAGCAAAAGCAGCTCTCTAGAAAAAAAAGTAAAAAAAATTAATTAATATCTACATGTCAATACAACTGACTACAATTTATATGCTATATAGCAGAATTTTTTTTAAAGATTTATTTATTTATTTATTCATATAGAACTGGGGTACAGGCCAGAGATGCGGAGGGTGAGAGGATTCATCAGAGAAAGAGAGGGGAGCAGAACAGGCAGATCTACGAAGCACACCGCTGAGGGGAGCGGCGGGCTGTCAGGGGAGGTCTGCCTCACCACGTGGATCTCCTCCAGGGCAGGCGGGGATCGAACTCATGAGGAAGTGGCTTAAGCTTCTTAGTGCTGTGCTTTAACCCGCTGCACCACCAGGGAGGGCCAAGTAGCAGAAATTTTTTAAATTATTAATGCACTTGTCTCTCTTATATGCTTTTCATGTGTGAATCCTGCCTTATTCAGCACAATTAGAAATGAAAACTGTTTTAGCAGAAAGGTAAATACAGCATTTAGCTTTTTATTTCTACATTTTTATTTTGAATAGAAATGGAAATAGCCATAAAGGCCAGCTTCATGGAGAGTAAAAGAAAACATTTCATTATCAAAAACTGGTGCATCAAAACTAAAAGTGCTGGAGGGAAATTCCTGCTGTAGAGATCGCTTGAGCAGTATACTTGATAGTGTAGCTGTGTCCTGCTTTATTTAGGAACTCTGCACAAAGAGGCTCTTAGAAGGTAACATCCCAACCAAGATGGGGTTAAAGCTGCAAGAAAACAACAGCAGCTTCATGGTGATTTTGTCAAAGTGTGACGATAACATCTCTTTTCTTCTTTAAAGTCCATATGGCACATAAAGATGCATTAGTATTTGTTTGCCTCATTATAGATGATAAAGACAGTAGCCAAGCATATGCGTAAGCCAGCCATGGCATTACTATAGTTAATGACAAAATGACCCTGTGATCCAAGACTGAGTAAGCTAAGCTAGGAAATAAAGGGCAGAAAGCAATCAGGAAAAGTCTAGCACCACCACCAGCATGATGGTTGCTCCTGAGCAGGAGGTAGCCGAGCTCCTCTCAGGAGCAACCATCATGCTTTGCATGTGCCAAGAGAACAAACCACAAGCCAAACGTGGTCACTGTGAGGACAAGGCAGAATACCACACACATGCTCTAGGAAAAGATGTCTGAGGTAGGACCGTGCAATCACACCACTTCCAAAACAATAATGTATCTTAGTGTCTTCAGGAATCCACGTGTCAAACCGGGAGAGGAAAGTAAGAGATTCCTTAAGAAATAGTGGAGAACTATTGTCTGCCTAATGCTTGCCCCAAAAGATGCCTTAAAACAGAAAGAATTATATTACTTCAAATTGACAGAAACTTCTGCTATCAGAAGAAATAGAGCTCAAGGGCAATATGAGATTAGTAACAGAAATAAAAGTACTTTCTGCCATATATGAACTATCGTGATAAATTTCAATCTCTTAGGTGCTTATTTAAAAAATGTATGAAAGTGCTTCTACATTTGTCATACATTAAAATACTCTTTCACAAAATAAAAGTGCTACTTAAATGTGGTAAGTTAAGCCAGTAACTAATATTTCTGAAATTCAAGTATCAGTGTATTTACTGATTCTTGAAGATTGAGGAATATGAAAGAAAGCTATTATTTTGTAAGAAATCATCAGTATTAGCAATATATTGAAAGTTCAGGATGAAAACACTACTAAATTACTACCATTTTCTGTCTGTACTATACAAAACCTACCTTTTAAGTGTGCCCTAAGTTTATGGAGCAGAAGCAAAGGCTATAATGCATTTCAATTACCTGTAGAGAAGTAATTCTATCATAGTGAATGGTGGTCATCTCATTCTCCGTCAGAGCATTTCCAGTCTGGTCATTAATCTCAAAACCAGTGTAGAATTTAAGCATGTCCAAAAGCTAAATGATAGAGTTAAATTAATATATTGCGGAACATGAGGTCAGAAGGGCATGAACTAACACTACTAAAAATAATAAAAAGTTGATACACTCATGGGGCTACAGAAAACTCTGGAATCTACTATTGCAGCAAACATTTCATTAGATATCTAAAGGTTTTTTTTTTTTAAAGATTTATTTACTTATGCATAGAGAACTGAGGTATAGGCCAGAGACTTAGGGGTAGTGAGAAGACTCACCAGAGACAGAGTGGTGAGCAGAACAGGCAGATTGACTGAAACACACTGCTGAGGGGAACAGCAGGTGAGACAGGAGAGCTCTGCTGTGCCACATGGGTCACCTCTGGGGCCTGGGATCGAATTTGCAAGGAAGCTGCTGTGGCTAGCTTGGCGCTGCACTTTAAACCATTCCGCCACCAGGGAGGGCCCTTTAATGTGTGACAGTAAAGGATGTGCCTTGTAAATATAGCCTAATCATATACATGGTCTACTTCTATAGGGTAGAATTTAAACTGCAAATCACAACACTAACTAAAAAGACTAAAAATACCATCAAAGCCAAAGATTTTAGTGAAAATTTAAAAGAAATCTATTTATGTAATGATAAATTTATAGAACTATGTACACCATGAAAGAGAACTCCAAGGTCTTTTACTTAGGTCACTCATACAGAATTTTCTGGATGAGGATTATAGAATTCTAATTGGAGGTATTTTTCTCAACATGCTGTTTTTATTTTTATTTTTTTAAAAATTTATTTGTTTACATATACAAGAACTGGGGTATAGGCCAGAGGTGCAGTGGATGAGAAGATTCACCAGGGACAGAGTGGGGAGCAGAATAGGCATATCAAGTGAAATACACTGCTGAAGGGAGCAGCAGGCAGCTCAGGAGAGGTCTGCAATGTGATGTGGATCACTTCCCCAGATGGGAATTGAACTTGTGTTGCAGTGGCCGTAGACTGCTTCATAGCATTGTGCTTTAACTTGATGAGCTACCAGGGAGGGCCCTCGATATGCTGTTATTTCTAACGGAAAAACAGCAAAGTGGGGGAAAGCTAAGTTGTTCATTCCCCTCAGCACTTCCCATGGCTATCAAGCTCTATCTTTGGCTTAGTTCCTGCTGCTAATGAAGGTCTAGTTTCCCCCTGTGGCAACAACATCAACAGAATTTCCTTGCTTTTTCACCCTAAATCTAATGTATAGCAGATCAGATCAGATTAAATTTTAATAAATGTGGCAATCACTGGAGAGATACTTAACAAGATGAGACAGAGGAGGAACACTTACAGGTATAAAGAATTCTTAAAAAAATGTAAACACATACAAACTGTTTCTGATTATGATCTCATTTAAAGGCAAGTATTAGAAGTTTGTCAGAAGTCAATTTGCATAGATGACATTATGTGAAATGAGATACACTAATACTTCAGCATCCTAAATAAGGCAGAACTGAAGCACATACACATTTCCATAATACCAATTAATTGCCTGTCACCATCTTCACACCAAGAGAACCTTGGTATTAGTGTAGTTTGCTTGAAATTAATGTTTATCATCTATTAATATTCCAGTCATTAATACATAAAATCAAAATATGATGGTACATGGGACTACCTCAACAATATCATAATTCAATCCAATATTGAGATTTCATTCAATTAACAAAACAGAGGCCTCTTATACAATAATGTACTCATTCTGATATAAAGAGTTGATTTTACTTTAAAAATTAAATAGGAATTCATAACATTCGATTCACTTAGTCAGCAAAATTGGCCTTGTGCTATGTCCTGGTAAGGAAAACATAAACTTAGAATGAGAAGAGAATATTCAGATACATCAATGCTTACCTGGGAAAAAAGATGGCCATCCTCTTCCCTATGGACAAGATTGGAAAGGTAACAGTGAACCAGAAGATGGGAGTCATCCAGGATCGTATTAAACCAGCGTCTTGTGGGGAGTAAGGCCTAAAAAAAAAATACCATAGCAATAGGTTTGCTGATATTCTCCACAGCTAGAGGTGAGGTCAACTGATATTTAACTGAGAAGTATCGTCAATCCTTAGACCCATTTCTCCATTTTCTCTGCCCACAACCCCCAATGACAGTCACAAGACAAAGTTGAGAAACTAGAACAATCAGTTTGTAAATCATTCATTTATTCAAATGGCATAATTTAATTGAAGACGTTATTGAGCTCCTTAGAGATTACAAATTAGTTAAGTGGAGACAGAATGTGAATGAAGATCTCACATGTGACTGTTAGTCCAAATTCTAAGTCCAACTCTAATTCTCATGTTAGAAAACCCACCTTTTTGAGCCCTCCCTTCTGGTCTAAGAGTTAAGTCTCAGTGCTATCACAGCAAAGGCCTGAGTTTGATCCTTGTCAGGAGGTGACCCACATGGCACAGCAGACCTCTCCTGTCTTAGTCACTGCTCCCCTCAGCAGTGCATTTCAGCAGACCTGCCTGTTTTGCTTCCCACTCTGTCTCTGGTGAATCCTCACCTACCCTGCCCCCACATTCATGGCCTACATCCCAGCTCTGCTATGCAAAAAGAGAAAAGAAAAGGAAAAGACAGGAAACCATCCTCTCTCCAGATAAGGAAAAACCAGGATTTTCTTTCAACTTCTACATTAAAGAGGAAAGGGAAAGGGAAAGGAAAAGAGGGGAGGGTAAGGAAAAAAACTCAGTCTCAACTAAACCAACTGTGCATTTGAACTTTCTATTGAAATCTTACACCCAATGGATTCTTTTTTAAAGAATCTTAACTTTAAATATTGACAATAACAACCTATATATATTTTCACCAATATTAGGCACATTTAGAAAAGTGAGATTAAAACGATGGTCCATAAAGTTATGACTTCAGCCACTATTAAAAATTCTATGAAGGAGTATTAAAGTATGATAAAAAGTTAACATTCATTTCTGGACTCATGTTTAATAACTATATTAAATAATGTTTTTCTATAATCAACAATCCATGCTGGTTGGGACAGCCATCTGAAAACTTCAAGGAACAACTGCCTTTAATTTCCTTCTGTATGTGTTCCCTTGAGATAGGGACAAAGGCCTGTTTGAGGTGTTAAAGAAATAGTTCATATATTCTATCTTAGCCCCTTTAGTGTTCATGTAACAAAAAACACATTTCTTACCTCCAGATCAATCATAAGTTCAATGAATCTTTCACAGTAGTGAACTTTGTCCATAGTGACAGGATCTAGACATAACAAAGCGAGTTAGAATTTTCTTACTTTGGCCATTCTGTATACTGTCCCTTAAAATTGGCAGTTTTTTTTTTTCTTAGTTATTAACACTAATTATTTGTCAGGATTAGACTTTGATTCAGAATAAGTTCAAATAAGTCAGTTTTTTTGACATACAAGTCAGTTTATATTTAGTACACAAAACTGAAAAAATGAAAAACCTAGCTTGGGTCAGAAACACATTTTAAAAATAAGATTTGTAAAGATATTTTTAAAAAGCTAATTGAAAAACTCTGCACTGATGAGACTTCCAAATAGATTTGGAAATGTAAAATCTAGAATGGCAATTTCACATCATTTCTTTATTTTCCTTATGGTGTTCACATACTAACTTCCAGAACTCTCATACATACATATATATGTGTACATATTTAAGTATAAAGAGATATATATGTCTATATTTATTTTTAGAATGTAAAAAATAGGTGGAAACATATACATTTGACATTTATATGCCACTAACAAAGACAATATCTTTTAAATCACAGTCTCATATTATGTTATGCTGGGCATTAATGTACTATTTTTAAGAACATTTATTTTTATTTTAAAATTACAACCTTGTGACTTGACATACTTTCAGTGTACAAATTGACTTTTTTTTGGTTAGGAATTGGTTTACCATCTTATGAGTTAAAACCATCCTGCCAAGATTTTTCACTTAAAAAGGAGATAATTTGGGGTTCCCACTGCTGCTAA